TGGAAGTACTCTTGCCATGAGACTCTTCAGAGTTCTTTGTCGTTGAGGTAGCACTGTTTTCAGGCCTTCCAGGAGTTGATTCACCAGTTAATTCTTCTCGGGTTGAGAGAGGAGAAGCAATTGTTGGTGCAGGTTTCCTTTTCTCAAGGAATGCATCAAATGATTTGGAAGAATCAGGCTTGTGGAGGAGAACTGTTTTGGTTGCCTTCAAAATTTCTTCCACAGATCTTCCCGTACCAATGTACTCTGAAATGACCTCCCACCTACGAGAAGTTCCTTTAGGATATTTTTGCATCCCTTTTCTCAATAGCTCGATTTCTTCTTTACTCCAAGGGTTTTCCTTCTTCTCATTGGTATTCCCTAGTGAGGCACTGCCACTGCCACTTACAGAACCATCCTTTTTATCAGTTTTCTCACCTTTCTTGTCATCTGCATCTTTTTTAGAACCATGTGCATCTCTTAGAATTTCCGCTTGCTCTGAGATGATTTTTCCTTCAATCATTTGGCACAAACTCTTCAACTCCTCAATATCGAGTGACAGGCAAAGACTTTCTACATCATCCTCAGATATGTCACGTAGTCTCTCTGACAAGACAGGTGCTGCAAGTGTTCGAAGACGAGTCCGCTCTTTTCGCAAGAGCTTTTTCTCTTTCTCCTTCACCTTCTTTTGTTGTAAAGCAGCTTCTGCAGCTTTCCTCTCTTCCTCATCCTTCCGTCTCTTCTCTTCTTCTGCAATTCTAGCAGCTTCTTCTTCCTGCAGTTTTTTGGCCAGAATCTTAGCCTCCTTTTTCCTCTGCTTCTCAGCCTTTTCCTCTTCCTTTCTCCTCAGTATTCTTGGGTCTCTCTTATAAGCATTATCAACAAGAGCACGAATTCGTGCATACTCTTCCTTCCTAGCTTTTTCTGACAATTTTGCATTCTGCCTTTCCATCCACCTCCTATGGTCTCGAGATTCAGCTTGCTCAAGATCAAATTCATCAGCATGAGGAAACTCCCTCCAGTTTTTAAATGCATACCAGAAATCATAGAATTCATCAACTTCTTTTAGTGGAGTATTGTCATCTCCTAAAGATGGAACTGGTTGACTAACTGACCACCGTCCATTCCGCATGAAAGCAGGACCAAACACTTTGAAGAAGTCTTGCGGAGAACAATCAGTGGGAATTTCATCATCAAACTCATCAGTGGAATCATATATTCTTCTCTTTACCGGATCGATCAGTACTTCATATGCTTCCTGGATTGCCTTAAAATGACTTTCTATTTCATCCTTCTTTGCCTGTTTTGCCACTTCAGTCTCCTCACCGAGCAGAAGAGCAGCCTGTTTATCTGGATGATACCTTAAGGCAGTTTCACGATAGCTTTTACGAATTTGATCCTCCGTAGCAAGATACCTTAAATGGCCCAAACCCAATAATGCATAGTGATCCTGTTGCTTGTCTCCAGCACCAGATTTCTTTTTACTCTTGCTGCTATAAGAATCAGATGATGCAAAATACATCTGTTCCTTATCATCAACCACCTTTTTATCATCACCATCTGGATTATCTTCCTCAACACCAAGAAGTTTAAGGGCAGCTGAATGGAAGGCATGGCCTGCTGGTTCAAAGTTCGAAGCCTTAATAGGAAAACAATTTGAAGAAACAAAAATTGGCTGTCCATCTACAATCTCTTGTGAGTAGGCAATAAGCTGGAGGTTCGTGTGTTTGGCCATCATGATGGCCTGCCGAACCAGGAAATAGGAAGTATGTTAGTGTTTGACGTCCTACAACAGCTCAAGTTCAATTCAATTTGCCCTCTAATAATTAATTATAAACACTGGAACCTGCATGGCCAAAAAAAGTTCAACCAGGCCATTACAAACAAACCTGAACAAGATACACATCATTCAGCCAAACCATAAAATCAGCAGATTAAAATCAGAACAGGTATAGACACTAGTAATCCCACACATGGAACACATTTGAAATAGAAACTAGCAATCCGGAAGCTGCACAGAGAGTAGTGTGTGGCTGTTAGACAGCATTGTATCTGCTATTGTTTCAGCCCAAGAGCTATATCTACAACTTCACAACATCAGCAAAAAGCTAGCTAAATCTTCACAGCATAATGGCAATTCTCAAACTCCAGGTGAAAGAAGGCACAGCTATAATATAACACATCAAATTAACGCACTCACAAGAATGCAATTATACAACAACAACAACAAGCCTTTATCCCACTAGATGGGGTCGGCTACATGGATTGCAAGAGGCCATTGTGCTCTATCATTTATCAAGCTTTTAGGAATATTATTAATTAATTAATTATTAATTAATTATTAAATCTTCACAAGAATGCAATTATACAATTCCAAGAAAAAGAATTAAGATTCTGCTTCATCTATGCAACACAAAATCACACACGTATATGCACGGCATTGTTAAGCCACACCATCTATGCAAAGTAATTCTGCTTTAATTTACTTGCACATCTGTAATTTGAAAGAATGAGTGACCAAATAACCAGGGTGGCATGCATTTTCTCAAATGATGAAAATGCAATACCCAGTAAGCTTATGCAAAAGGAACAAAAATATATAGAATTTATTTATTTACTACGCGTACACAAGTTTGAATGGTCCATGGCATTAGGCCGGAAAAGGCACTAAGAGTAAGCTGTTAATCCAAGAAGAACCATGACCAACTTATCAAGAACCAATAACCTCTCAAGCATGCTGCGTTAGTTCACCCATTGTCGGAGATATAATTACGTCTTCTGGGAAAAGTGAAATAATATCTTATCATGCCTTTGAATCAGTTAATAGATTTTACAAGAGTATAAATGCTAATAAAGGCATTACTTCAACATAAGCAGTGAAAAATGTTAACAAATTTACTTTTTTTTTTTCCCTCGAAATATATCCCTTCATTAATTCAAATTTCGTAGGATTTATTCATTCCTTCCTACTGGCACTTGTCTGCATCAAGTGGTGCAACGCAACAACCCCAACTAAAAAACTGAATTGGACTGGGCTAAAAACAAAGGGCTTCAAAATTCATGCGCGAAGGTCGGATTGTGCAGAAAAATTGAAACAAACACAGAAACATTTAGCTCTTGAACCATGAAACAAACAAAATATTGAAAGACGGAATCGTGACAGATCACGTAAAGAAACAACAATAAGAAAAGAAAAGAAAGACATGCGATGTGTGATGCGGTAACTGAACCAGAGAAATCATGATCAAAGCACAAGAACAAGGAAAACTTACCCAGAAAAAAAATTGACGAAGAGGCCAGAGAACGTTGAACTTGGAGCAGCTGAAGGAAGAGTGAAACGAATGTAATTTTGGGTCCCCAAATTGTCCGGGAAGTTTCGGCCTTTTTATAGGGGCTCGGCCAACTTCCCTATCACAGTTGTCAACCCCACAGCCAGGTGATTTTTTTATTTGAGAAGAAATAAATAAAACATTTATACAAAAAAATAATAAAAATAAAATAAAAACACAAAATAAATGTTTATTTTCAAAATTTGTATATAAAATTAAAATAGACTGTTCTTGACAAATTTCTCATTTTTTAAAAGTTCAATTTTTAGACTACATACAAATATACTATGAAAATCACACTAGTTATAAAAAAGTTGCTAATAATATTTCTAAACATGTCCCATGAAATAGGATACTGATATTTATTCAAAATAATAGTATAAATGAAAAAATCCTGTAATTCACCTAAATTTCTTTTATCAACACCTAAAAAATTTAATATTGGAAATTTAGATAACATTTTTAAAAATGAAAAATTATTGATAATAATTAACTTTAATAATTGATCAAATCTAAAATTTTTAAAATGAGTGGCTATCTTTAATATAAGTTCTTAAGTTTTCAACTGATGCAAAGTTTTCAAATAGTTTCCAAAAGCATATTAAATAATTCCATGATAAAATAGTTGTTATGGATATATTATATATGTAAGAAAAAAGAAAAATGAATTTTTTATGTATTATTTATATTATAATAAATTATTGTTATTAATATCATTAATGTTGTATTTCCAACAATTAAGTGAATTAACCTAGTAAAATCTGCCCCTTTTCATTTGATTGGATAGGAGTAAATTTATAAGATTAAGGGTGCGTTTGATTTTCTTCCGTTTCACGTTCAGAAAGCAAAATTTCACTTTTAAAAAGTTAAAAGTTGTTTGGATAGAATATTTTGCAGGAAAGCACATCCTGAAAGTACATTCAAACAGTAGTTGAAAGTGAATTTTTAAGACGTAACTATTTGAAGCTTTTGAAAAGTGGATTTGAAAAGTAGGATGTTATTTGACCATACTACCCTAAGTTTAATTTCTTATTTTTTATTTAAAAAATAGTTAATTCATTAAAAATATAATTATTATTTTAATAATAATAATAATTAGGTATCAATTTTTTTAGTATTATAAATTGAGTAATTAATCATGTTAATTTTTAGCATTAATGTATAACAAAAATTATAAATCTTTATTACATCTTTTAAAATTACAAATTAAAAAATATAAATAATTAGAGATCAAATTTTTTGCATTATAGATCAAAATTTATGTTATTTATAATCTTTATTACGTTTTTAAATATTTTAAATATATTACATTTGTATAATAAAAATTATAAATTATTATAAATAAATGTCTTTTTTGATAATCGTATATTCAAAAGTACATTTCACTATCACAAACCAAACAACTTTTAATGTATCAAACTGACTTTTAAAAAAATATATCCAAACACAAATTTTATTACAACAACTGACTTTCATGAAACTGACTTTCATCAAATAAACTTTTATCAAATTAATTTTTGATAAACTTAAAACTAAACGCACATAGTTTAATCTAAGAAAAATGTCTTGCCTAATTTAAAATTGATAAAAAAAAAATGGCATCTGCATGGAAATTAATACAAGCTGCAAACAATTCTTATATCTTGTGCCCATCCATATGCCATAGAATTTGGAACCCATTCCTTGGGCGAATCTCTCTGTATCTGCGTTCATGGAAGATCATGGTGATGCAGAAAGAAAGAAACAGACGTACGTACACAGAACAACATCAACTTCACGTGGCCCGAACCCACATACTAGACTCTCTTATTGCTCATCCACAACATTCTGACATTCCTCCTCATCAATTCCATTCCTATTACATCTGATTTTCTTCGTTTTCCATTAACAATTATGGGTAAGGGACCGTTCTCCTTAAACCGCTTCGATAGCTGTCATTAGCATAAGAAGGTGGCTGAGCTGCCTCAGCAGGTTGCCGGAGGGTCTGGCTCTCCGGGAAACACCAACCAGGGCGGTGGTTTCATAACCAAGGCCAAGAAGAAGCCTGGTGGAGCGAGGTTGTGGATGAGGTTCGATCTGTCAGGTTAATCAGAGCTCGTTGAGTTGGATAGGAACGCAGTTTTCAAGCGCGCGGCAATTCCGGCTCGGGATTTGAGGTTTCTGGGCCCTATCTTCTCCCAATCCGCCAATATCCTCGGTAATGATTTTAGGATTTTGTTACGTCTGATTTTCGGGACCTGTGGGTTTTGATGTTGTGGTGTTCCTTGTGTTTTGTTAGATTAAATATGCCATTGATTAGATTATGACTGCGGAACGTTTTAGCGTGAATGTTTGCTGGCAACAGAACTTGGAAATTGGAATGAGTGAAGAAAGTGATTGTATGTTTTGTTAATTTTCAATGGACTTTAGTTATTTTTATTTGCATTTTAATCAAAGATGGCAGATTGCGGTTTGGAATTCACTAGAAGCCAAGATGAATTGATTTGTGCTTAAAGAGAATGATCATCAGACATTGGGTCTGTATGATTTGTACGTGGGTTATTTGGGGTTGTAATGAACCTTCTGCAAATCGTGTTATATGAATTTATAATCAGTCAAGGACAAGGATAATCCTTTGTCCCCTTCCGGAGGATTTTGTTTTTATTGATGTTTCTTTAAAAGTTATTGCTTCAATGGTCAATAAAATCAAAGTATGGCAAATGCTCTGAACAAAGAGGAATACCATTAGTACGTGGAATACCATGAGTATGTATTATACTCTAATTATCTGTTGCATAATTTAGTAAGATGATTGCTGCAAAAATTTAGTTACGAATTATTTTTCATCTAATTTTATATTTGAATTTTGGTTGAAAATATGTTCATCTATTATATTTTTCTAAGTAAAATTATAGCCTACGAGTTACCCTTGGGCACACAGCATTTAAAGTCTTTCTAACGGACTGGCTACTGTCACAGTTGGAGCTTTTGACTCTAGATTCAACCATCTATACTGTTCTGACTTTTGCCCATGTTTGGATTTTATCTTATATTTAGAGGTGAAATGATGTTTATTTTGGCAACATTGCATCAATTCAGAATTCTCTGTTGGTGCTCAAATTTTTACTCTTAGTTGTAGCTATAGAGATTCTATTTTCTTATGTTTCTTTTCATTTTTTATCGTATTTGGTAATAGCATGAGCACAATGAAGTATGGAATCATGTATAATCTCCTTTTCAGCTAGAGAAAAATCAATGGTCGTTAATTTGGAATTTATAAAGGCTATAGTCGCAGCCGAAGAACTTCTATTGCTTGATCCTCTTTGCCACGAGGTCCTTCCATTTGTTGAACAACTCAGCCAACAACTTCCAAATAAAAATCAACCTCAAGTTCATGCCCATGCAGATGAACAAGAAAGGAAATGCAGGTATCAACTGGCAGACAATTGTTAACAGCGCCAGAACATGTTGAAGGTTTCCAGTCTGAGCTTCCATTTGAGTTTCAAGCTCTAAAAGATTGCTTTGGAAGTTGTCTGCACACATTTGGAGTCAAATGTGGCAGACCTTGAGAGAGTTGCATACCCTGCGTTGGATGAATTGGCTAGGACTGCAAGCACCAAGAATCTTTAAAACGTTTAAAGTTTGAAGAGTAATGTTACACGTCTGCTGGCACGTGTGCAAAAGGTATGCTGCATAAGTACCACAGTTTTCTTCCTCTGCTTGCTATCCCTCTGTCAATCTGCAATTTTTTTCAAAGTTTTTATGAGTGAATGAGGGCAGTACTGAAGTTACCTATAGGTGGCTTTGGAGTGTGATGGATAAAGCTTAAACTTATTGGAAAAGCAAATATGCCTAGTGGAATGGAATTCATATAACCAAGATTTATGTTTATCCAAGGAATATAGTCATTGACTGGTGTAGACTTCAGCCAAAGGCCCTACTCTATATTCTATCGGCAATAGTTCTCTGGGGATGTTTATAGTCATTGCAATGGGATGAAATTGAACACCATCATCTATTCATTACTTCATGCCTATATTACAAGTGCATGGTCCCCTTTTCCAGGTGCGGGATGAAATTGAACATCTACTGGATGATAATGAAGATATGGCACAATTATATTTGACGAGAAAGTGGATACAGATTCAGCAAGCTGAGGGTTATTCTGGAGTCATAAACACAAATAGCCTCAGTACTGCTGCCCTAGCTCGTCAGTTTTCTTACAAAAGCGGAAGTCTATTGACTAGCAACTTCAAGGACTATAATGATGTGGAGGATCTTGAGATGTTGCTTGAGGCATATTTTATGCAGTTGGATGGAACACGTAACAGGATATTGTCTGTAAGTGTTATTTTTTGATCGAAGCATACACTTTATAGAACTAATTTTGTAGGACCAGATTTTGTTTAATGTGTCATTGAAGTTTGAACATATCAATCTGTAATTTGATTCTTCTTTCATCCTATCCTACAAGTTTCCATCAAACTTGCACTAGCTTATCATGAATCAATATAATCCACCATGTCTGATTGTGGATGAGCAATTTTTATCATCAGTATGACTGGTCATTGGCTAACTTTCTTTCTTCCTCATATATGAAGAAGTTAAAAAGCATAGGCAAATTATCTTGAATCTTGATCAATTTGATTCTTATAAAACCTGCTGAAAATGTGTTGCATGAACAGGCCTTTAGAGTTTGACTGACGGACTAAGGTGTCACTTCACTTGTGTTGAGATAGTATGGTTCTTATTGGCTATGGATTTGCAGGTTAGGGAGTACATTGATGACACAGAAGACTACATCAACATCCAACTCGATGACCAACGAAACGAACTCATTCAGCTGCAGTTGACACTGATCATCGCATCATTTGCTATTGGAATTGATACTTTGATTGTTGGCATGTTTGGTATGAACATTCCATGTCAGTTTCATAAAAACACTGATGGACTATTTTGGAGGTTTGTTGGTTGTTCTTCTGCAACTTGCATACTTCTTTTCTTGCTTTTGTTGGAATACGCGAAGTGCAAAGGGTTGCTTGGCTCATGAGAATACTTTTTCTTTCAATAGAGGAACATGGCCAAAGCTGTGCAAAATACAACAAATTAAGTCATATCAAAACTCAAAAGATTTTTATACTTTAGAGGTGAATTGTAAAGTATCTTGATATCTAAGTTATTTAAAGGCACTTGGTGAGTTCGTAAGTATACTTTGATACCAAAACTCACAACATGGCAAATCAAAATTTGAATTCCCGCTAGAAGAAATGTTCACATTTAGTGTTTGACCATACTTCGAATAGGATTATTTCTAATAGGAGGTACCTATAAGCAAATAAAATTAGTGTTTCAGCAATTGAATGTATCTACAATGTTCTAAAATCTCCCACCTCACACCTTAGAGGAGGTGGTGTTTTCACTGAACAACTAGTTAGCCATTTACCTCTGCCTTCATTTTGAAGGTTAAGTATTATTGATTCAATATAAAAGAAAATCAATGTTAGATTCATATGATAATAAAATAAAATTAGGATGTGAGATATATGCGAAGGTGATGTAGAGACGCTTTTGCTAATATTGATGATAGCACATTTCATACTTTATCTAGTTGTTAGTTTATAAATGAGTTTTTAAGTTCTCTGAATAGCTAGAAGTCTAGCATAGGTGTTAGCTAGATCATATTCGCCAAAGAAATTTATTTGAAAAATGTATTTCTTTATTTATGTTTGAACTAACAAAGCAAAACAAATTAGTTAAAATATTGGGAGAATGATAGATAATGAAATAAATCCCTCCGAAATAAAGAAATAACAAATTGATCCTATGAAATACGATAATGCCTTTTAATGCCTTGTGTGGCATAGGGAAATGATTTTGGTGAAAGTGAAAGTGGAAATCGAGGTGGAGGTGAAAATGGAAGTAGAAATTTAAAAGTATGTTTGATATGTTAGTAAAATTAAAATAAAAAATTTATTTAATATTATTTTATGTTTTAAAAAGACTAAAATATCCTTAAATTAAAAAAAAATCCAAGCACTAGCAACCCTAACATGTTGCTCACCACCTTCGATTATTGCTGTCGGAGGTCAAATGCACCTTTTTCAAAAAAGGCAAACTTTGCCAGAAAATGCAGTGAAAGATGAAACTTGGAACCATTATTATCAAACATAATGAAAAAAATGCGAACACACTGAAGTTGAAGAACCAAAAATCAAACATTTGAAATTGAATTAGAAACCGAATCTTACTTGAATGCTATCAAACTCAAATCAAAAAATGAAGGCTTTAAACTCTCACAACCTATTGAAGCTTGAATTGAGCCTAAATCATTAGGGATTTTGTCAGAGCTTGAAGTAGGGATTTGTTGCAAAATTGAGTTCAATCTCCTCAATGCTTCTTGATATGTGCAAGTTTGACACCCTTGTTATGGATTTTATTAGTCACTAACCACAAGGAGAGGAAATCAAAGACAGAAATCAAAGAGGGAAATCAAACCAAAAATCAAACAAAATAGCCCATTTGCGATCTTCATTTGTTGGTCAGGAGTCACCGCCATTCGTCGTTGTCCTCGCTAGAGTCACAGCCATTCATCATTGTCCTCGCTAGAGTCATAGCCATCGTTGCTACCCTCATCATCCTCTGTTTGATAATAAGGAGAGATATAGATGGCCAAAATTGTCAAGCTTGAGGGTATGGTGGAAGTGGAATTGGGTTCCATAGGGTGGAGTATAGAAGTGGATTCCATCATTTTTTATGGAACTAGGTTCCATAAGGAAGCCAATTCAGACATACTATACATGTTAAATTTAGGATTCCATTTCCACTTCCATTTTTCTGGTTTCATTTCACTCCTACCAAATGGGGCATAAGTCTTAAGGGAGCTCATTATTATTAAAGTTTTTTAGGAAATGACAAAATACCTTTTAATTTAAAAAAGTGCAACAAAGTTTTTTGTTCATAATTTTAAATTTCAAAATCACAAATCTAATTCAGTAAATAACTAAAATGATTTAGGGCTTTAGTATTCACTGTAACATCCTAATTTCTTAATCCTGTAATTAGCTGTTAATCAAGGGTAATTGTTAATTATGAAGTGATTAAGATTTTAAGTGATAATGTGATGATTTGTGTCTTTGAGATGTTAAATAGATAGATACAGGTGGAAGGATAGCGTTTTGGGTCGAAGCAAGTGCACGTAGTGAGAATTCTTCTCACTGTGCCATACATCACGGTTTGTGCTTCATGTATCGTGGCGCATGGACCAAAAAATGACCCCATAAGTCATGAAATCTGGGTAAAGTTTAGAGAGAGAAATCAGAAAACATGAAAGGGAGAAGAAGAGAAGGGCTTAGTTGATAGAGCAAGAAATTTCAGAGCCGTGGAAGGCACTTCTGATTAGTAACTTATCGAGTAAGTTATGTAAACTCTTACCTTCTATTCTACTCAAATTTCTCTAAATATTAGTTATAAAAAAATTGAATCCATGAAGTTCTAGGGGTTTGATTTTTACCCAATAATAATAAAAATATTCTCAAGACTTAAATTAAAATTTTGTAACTAGTTTAGAGCTGAACGATAGAGCTTTGAACCTATAGACTCAACTTGGCCTTAATTCATTGAGATTTTAGGGTGAAAATCATGTTTGGGTAAAGTAAGACCAATTAAAGTGATATAAAGTAATAATCGAGTAGTAATGGACTTAGAAGCTTAAAGAACATATTCACATGCAAAATTTTTAAAATATGAATTCTAACATATCAAGTTACCTTTTGTGCCATGTTATGTCTATAGATGTAATTTAAGCATGTCAAAGTAAGGTATAAGAAAATTCAACACTGATATTGGGAATAGAATATTCTTGGGTTTAGCAAGGTGTTATTATTGTTTTCTATAGAATTTTCTTGGGAAAGCTAATTCAAAGGAAAGTAGAGTCAGAGGGGTTAAATCTTGTGAAAGAGTTTTCAAAAGTTGCCATCAGGGAAAGAGGTTTTAATTTCAGGAATAGAATGATGAAATTGCTCAAGAATTGTGATTACACTATTTTTCATCATGTTAGTAGAGTAAACATTAAGCAAAAAAAAAATTCTTGGATAGTTTAACACATATAGTGAGAGTGGAAAAGAGACCACGGGTAAAAAGAATTCATGAATTAGAATGAAATAGAAAGTTGGGACAATTATTTGACTTTGGTGTTAAGTGCATATGACGATAGCTATCAAATTAACATAAAAAAATGTTAGGGGTTGTGTGATGAAGAATGAAGATTTTTAATTGCCTGGTTTGGAATTATCCAAGTCAAATTTTGGGATCAAATTTGGTGTAAGATGGAGTGACAGAATAAAAGTAATTTACTAAAGTTGTTACCAACATAAAGTTCACAAAAGTCTAATGATGATTATTGGTGTTGGGGATAAGATGGTCTAAAGGTGTTTGCATGAAGGGTATGACAAAATTTAGGAAGAAAGGTAAGTTGATCCGACAATGAACTAGGAAATTTCAGTTAAGAGTTATTGATATTGTGAAAATATTTAAATGATCATTCTCATGTGATCAAGTCTTAAAAAAAAAACTACTTGGAAAGTAGAGAGCGAGATGTGGGAGAAGTATCTGCATTTATTTTAAAATTGAAATAAAAAATTATTCAAATTTAGAGGACTAAATTTTTTAAGGCGGAGAGAATATAATGACCCTAAATTTAAAATAAAAAATAAAAAAAATACATAAATTAATAAATTTTTTAAATGATACTTTATTTAAATTAATTTTCTAGCAAGTGGAGGAGATAATTTAATGAAATTTACGTTAGTGACTTCCTTGAAGTTTTAGAATTTGAATTTTATTTAGTAAAAGTTTGATTTTATTTTATTTTAAATTATAGAGAAATTTTGTATTTTTTTCTTATAATTTTCATTGTGTCCTTTTTTGTAATTCTTTTCAATTATTTATTAGTGTCAGATTTTTCTTCCTCCACCGCCATTCGAATGCTGGAAAGTAATGAAAGGGTGAGAAATTACACATGTGCCCTTGTTCTTATGTAACTCAACAGAAATATCTGAGGGGGTTATTGTAATTTTACTTTTCATGAATTAAAAAATTTTCTTCCCTTTCTCGGTCAGCATCAGAGAACAAAAAAAAAAAATAGGAGCTTGTGTCTGAAACTCTCTCTTCTCCTCCTCTTCCCATTGCACTCCCCTTAACCTCGCTGCAATGTTGTCATCTCCCCACCGCCAGTAGTTCATCTTTTCTCTTTCCCTCTCTCCTTCGTCTACCTCTATGGGTTCAAGTAGTTGAAGCTCTTCCTCTGTTTCTTCTCTGCTGCGAGCTGACGGTGGTGCATGAGTGTGTTCAAATTTCATCTTCCTTCCTTCTAAGCTACCGGACGTTCAAGCGTGTAGGTATAGCGAATTCAAGCTTTCTTTTTTCACTCTTTTGGTCTTCGATTTCTGCTCCTCCTCCTTGTTGAATAGTAAGCTTTTTTCATCTTCTTTGGTGTTGTCTGTGAGCTGAGGTGTCGTTGTTGCCATTGAACTTTAGCTTGAGGTAAAACACTAGTTCTTTCTTTTCCGTCTTCGAATTTACCAGCAATACCGAACCATTCTTTCCTTCTATGGCCGATTGATGCGTCCCCTGCTTCTCATTATTGCTGTTGTGCATTTTTTTTTTTTTTGGGAAAGGATTGGGGTGTTGCTTCATTTAATGCTGGAAGTTATTTGATTATGGTGTTTAGCTGAATTTAAATTATGAAATTAAATGATGGAAGTTGTTGAAATTCTTGAATGCTTGTCACATGAAGTAAAGGAAAAATTACGTATAGATTAATGAAGCATACATATTTACTAATAAGTCCCGCGAAATTCAGAAACTATAGCCAAGTCCCTTGAGATCTAAGTGTAATTTAAAATTAAATTGCAAAGACAATAATAACCCTATTAAATATATATTAGATCAATTAGATAATTAATTTATAACTACTTCATTAGCAAGTTACAACTATAATTTTAATTGTTTACAACTGTAACTTCACATTTTTAAAGGTTAAACAATCATGTCTTATTAATAAAGTTTAATATTAATTATTTACAACTACTTTAT